GACATGGGGGACATGGAGGGACATGGAGGGCTTGCAGGACATGGAGGAACGTGAGGACTTGGAGGACCTGTAGAACATGAGGGACATGGGGGACATGGAGGGCTTGGAGGAACATGAGGGCTTGGAGGACCTGTAGAACATGAGGGACATGGGGGACATGGAGGGCTTGGAGGACCTGGGGGTCATGGAGGGACATGAGGACTGAGAGGACCTGTAGAACATGAGGGACATGGGGGACATAGAGGGCTTGGACGACCTGCGGGACATGGGGGACATGGAGGGACATGGAGGGCTTGCAGGACATGGAGGAACGTGAGGACTTGGAGGACATGTAGAACATGAGGGACATGGGGGACATGGAGGGCTTGGAGGACCTGCGGGACATGGAGGGCTTGGAGGGCATGGAGGAACGTGAGGGCTTGGAGAACCTGTAGAACATGGGGGACATCGAGGCCTTGGAGGACCTGGGAGACATGGGGGACATGGAGAGACATGGAGGGCTTGGAGGACATGGAGGAGCGTGAGGACTTAGAGGACCTGTAGAACATGAGAGACATGGGGGACATAGAGGGCTTGGAGGACTTGACCTGAGGGACATGGAGGTCATGGGGGACATGGAGACCCTGAAGGACATGGAGGGACATGGGTGGATGTGGAGGGACATGGAGGTTGGGGGTAGTGGGTGACATGAAAAGCTAGAGAGGACATGGAGATGGGGGGACACCAAGGGACATGGGTAGAGATGAGACGCGGCTCGTGATCCCCGTCCCCCCCGGGTCCCCTCCCCATGGCCTTGTCCCTATGCCCATGGCCACCTTTGTCCCCATGGCCTTGTCCCCATCCCCATGGCCATGCTCACGGCCATCACCCTGTCCCCAAGCCCGTCGCCGTCCCCAGGACCCCATCCTCATGCCCGTCCCCAACCCTGCGGCCACCTCCAGCTCTCCATGCCTATGGCCGTGGTGCTCCCCATGGCCACCCCATGGCTGTCCCCGTGGCCGTGGTGGACCCATGCCCGTCCCAAACCCTGCAGCCATCTCCAGCACTCCTTGCCCGTGGTCATGGTGGTCTCTATGCCCAGCCCAAACCCTCTGGTGGTCTCCGTAACTCCTTACCCATAGTCTTGGTTGTCCCCATGCCCATGGTGGTCCCCATGCCCATGCTCATGCCCATGACGATCTCCATCCTCTTGCCCATGGTGGTCTTCATATCCATCCCCATGCCTATCACGGTCTCCATGCCCATGGCTGTATCCATACCCTTCCCTGTGCCCATGATGGTGCCCAAACCCATCTCCATCCCCATAGTGGTCTCCAAGGCCATTCCCAATTCTCTGACCATCCCCAGCTCTCCATACCCATAGCCATGGTGGTCTCCACGCCCATCCCCACACCCATGGTGGTCTCCATACCCATCCCCACATCAATACCCATCCCCGAGGTGGTCTCCACGCCCATCCTGATCCCCATGATGGTCTCCATCCCCATCCCCACACCCATGATGGTCTCCATCCCCAGCCCCACATCCATACCCATCCCCGAGGGGGTCTCTATGCCCATCCCGATCCCCATGGTGGTCTCCACACCCATCCCCACATCCATGATGGTCTCCATCCCCAGCCCCACATCCATACCCATCCCCGAGGTGGTCTCTATGCCCATCCCGATCCCCATGGTGGTCTCCACACCCATCCCCACCTCCATGATGGTCTCCAACCCATCCCCACATCCATGATGGTCTCCATCCCCAGCCCCACATCCATACCCATCCCCGAGGTGGTCTCTATGCCCATCCCGATCCCCATGGTGGTCTCCACACCCATCCCCACATCCATGATGGTCTCCATCCCCAGCCCCACATCCATACCCATCCCCGAGGTGGTCTCTATGCCCATCCCGATCCCCATGGTGGTCTCCACACCCATCCCCACCTCCATGATGGTCTCCACGCCCATCCCCACACCCATGGTGGTCTCCATCCCCACCCCCACATCCATGATGGTCTCCAACCCATCCCCACATCCATGATGGTCTCCATCCCCATCCCCACATCCA